AACTAAGTTCTGATCCCAAACAGTAGACCGACAATCAACGCACCCGCGAACAATACACTGAATCGAAACCCAAAGGCTTTGCGTGAAAGGTCTTTAGAAGCTCACACACAGTTGCTTCGATTACACTCCTGTGTTCGATCTACGCTTTGCTGCCGTGTGGGTTACACTTTTCAGTCGAAGGCTCCGGTTAGGGTTCCCAAAGCAAAACCCCTTCGTCGATGTAAGCCATCGCGAACTATATTGTACCCTGAATTTTCGGGCACCCATTGGGGAAACCCTTTCTTATCTCTCTAGTTTTTTTTCTCACTCCCAAGTCATCCGAACTGTCTCTTAGTTCGCTATCCGTGGTTAATGGTTGTATAAACTGAACTGAACTGAACACCCATGGGATATCATCCAGCGTTTCACCAGTAAGGTCAGCCACTGAAAAGCTACGACGTTGATAAACTAAAATCTCCGTTTCACTTGGCTGTACTCAATATCCGCACACTCTATCAAATTGGTCGACAAGCTTCCTTAGCTAGAAGCTTTAAAATTTTCGATGGAGAGTCATTTTGTGTCTCTTAGACACGCATACAGGACCTCACTTCAGTTATCACCTTATTCTCTCCGGATCCAACATCCTCATCACGCTTCACTCTCCGTATCTGGTGATTCGACATCCAAGGCTCGCGGTGTTGTCGGTGTTGGGATTTCTCTGTGTCAAAGTTAGCACTCGCTTATCGACCGGATTCCAGTCAGGAACCGACTGCGCTGTACGTCTCAACGGCTCAGTACGAGTCAGTAGCTACAGAACGAAGCGTCGATGCTTATTCGTCGTATCGATGTATCCACCGACCGACTGCAGTGCACCTGAACTGAAGGATGAATTCTACAAGGACCTCTGTCAACTGCTGTAAAGGACTTAGTCAGCAGTCATCGCAGTGGTCGCGGGAGACTTCAGTGCTCGAGTTGGATTCCCCGGTGAATCAGAAAGGTGCCGAGACGGGCCTCACACAATCTCATCCAAGTAGACAACGGAGATCACCTGCTTCAACTCTGCGCGGACCACAGGCTGTTTCCATGGAGCACCGACTTCTCCCACAAGAAAAGACACTGTCTCACGTTAAAACATCCTACTGCTTCACAGTAGTGGACTCAAATCGACCACATCGCCATCAGCTACCCCTGGCAAGGATCTGTCGAAGACTGCCACTCTCACTGGTCAATCCCGTGGGCACGGACCATACTTTGTTACGAGCCAAACCCTTACACCTGGCCTATACCTTGTAAATAACGTCCGAAACGTCACCGGCCATGGAAACCCACAATGTCAGCAGTAGTTGTAAATCGGCTTACGAGGCGGAACTTTCCGATTACCTGTCAGTTCAACCGAGAGCCAAAGGACTAAATGAATGCTGGACTTTGACTAAGGACGCTATAAAAATGTCAATTCAAACCACAACGGGTTCTGGCGCGCACCCAAAACACAATCCTTAGAGCTCATGGACTTCAGATACCATGCTGGATCCCTGCAGAGCCATTCTTCCTGATGCTTCATATTACTGCGTGCAAATCCCTTAAACGCCTACTCATGAAGAATCTGATGAATGCCCGCGAGAATTGGTGTGGAAAAGTTTGAAGAGAGAGAAGACTGATTATCGCTAATTGTCAATCAAGAACCAATTTTTAGAGTCGCTGATTGATATGGCTCATTCTCGTAAATATTGGCCTTCGTACATCTCAATTTCTTTGCAACCTCAGTCCACTAAAATTCTCCATTTTCTCCCCCGCTCTACTTTCAATATGGTGAATGGTCGTAAAAACTGGAACTGCAAACTGAAATGAAGATGCTTGTATTTTAGGTATCATCATCTATTTTTACAATTTCGAATTTGTGAAAATCACGCGTAAATTTCCAATAATTGTATCAAATGTTTTGTTTAACCTCTTTTTTTAACGTCCTCACCGCTGATGGAGAAAATTCAAGCCAATCTTTTATATGATGCAGACCATTGACTTTTTGTTGTGTTAATTGGGTTACATGTGAACCCTGATTCTTTTGTCCTTTCGCATCTAATTTCTGTTTTGTTCGATTGCAGTGGAATGGGGATGTAATGCGTTTAGTTATGTTTCCACTAAACTTCATTATTTTTTGCAGGGGGCAGTCTCCTAGTCTCGAGGAATGGCTGTTGAATCATGATAACCAGAACTGATACGTTAAGAACTGGATAGTATACTGAATTCGCTCTCTGTTTCTCTCTCATTCCTCAATCCTATGTTTGCATGTTCCTCCACAGTGCGCGCGCCATCTCACTGTCAGTGGTTGTTGCGTTGTTCTTCCTGCTGGCTTATACTGCTGATCCGTTGATACACGTCCTAGACAACAGAGGCATCGACAACACATCAAGCGTATGGCGAGACATAGCAATTGGCNTCGCAATCCACCTTGATCGTCACTGTCCGAACACGTTCAACCCCCCTCCCCGGTTCCCTTCTCCATTCCCTTTTTTCCCTCGATGCTCGGATATGAACAGCATCCTCATTTTGTTTTTTTTTTGCCGCCACGTGTCAGGGGTGAATCTACCATCTGATTCTGGTTATATTTTCCTACGTGACAACAACATGACACAAATGATTGGGTTCACTATTTGTCCGTTCCTGCTGCGCCGACGCCTTCCAGTTTTCGTCGTTAATCATCACGGTTAAGACTCTTAGACTTTTCTCTCGTTCACTCGCTCTGTGTATTGTCTTCCCAGGATTGCTGTAGAATCCATTTTCCTAAGACTATAAACGGAAAAAACTTATTCCTTCTCACTGTTCTCTGTGTTCATTTTCCTCGATTTTCTATTGTATTTTTTGGTAATTCGAATTCGGCTGATTAACCCCATCGATTGGCAGCCTTGCGATCACACACACTACACATTATACACAGATCACGTCTATTCCCTTCTTTCCCCTATTACTGTCCCAGTTACACATACACATACTCAAACTAATGCTGTTGTGTTTTTATTCCGTCTTGTCTGGTATCCTGCTTTCCCTTCGCTTATTTTTTCCTCAAGTCTCAGTTTGTGTACACAGTTTGTTCCCCTTCTCTTTCTCGTCCGTTCAATCATCGCTTTCTACTTGTTCCGATCCAAAGGCCTTCGAGAGAGACAATTTGTTGCCTATTCAGTAAATCTCTTCCTATTTTCCTACTCTCTATCATCTGTTCTGGTTGATATCGCATCTACTTGTGGATTCGTTTCTGCTTCACTTCCATATTATCCCCACGCTTGCTTTCCTCGTGCCTCTTAATTCCTCCTTACCCTGTGGTAATTCATTCCTATCTTTGGGATCTCTGTGTGGAATTGATTTATCTATCTTTTGTTCTTTCCTTCATCCATTTGTCTTACCATCGTTCATTGTTCCGTCCATTGGCACCTATTCGGGCCGTTCTTGTAGAATATTCACTTTGCACTACTGCCACCACTATTTTCCTCACTCCATCCCACCACAGATCATCCCCATCAATTGTCTTGAGTGCTGCTATTGAACAGCGCTTTGCGATGCCTCCCCAACCATCAAACATTGATTTGTTTCTCCACACTCCATGTCGTCCTTCCCCCAGGGGTCGTTGTGAGATTCGCGGATACTTCGTTCCCCAACCCTCCGAACGTTGAAGATCGCCCTCTCCCTCTCATTTCCTTTTTCGTGCTCATGGAATTTCGTCACGTGTAGAGAATTCTCAAAAGCTGACTGGTGACAAACTGGAACGGTCCCCTTCGTTTGTTTCTTTCTGTTTCCCCTGCTGTTTCATTTTTTTTCTATTTTTTTTTTGTTTCGCCAAACAACCATGCCACCGAAACGTATTTCGTTTGCTTGGGTTTCACTCACTGTTTGATGCGTTCGTCCTTATGTCGTTCTGTTTCGTCTTTCACAACCGCTTGATGAACTTCGGTGAATCACAATGCGTATATACCATCGTCGAATCCAGGCCGTCCACACTTGAGTGCATGCTCGCTCGCTCTCCCTCAAACTTCACTCTATCCAACCCTCACCTTTCTAACCCTCAATACGAAAGAAAAGCCGTATCGAATCTACACTGGCGAAAACTCCTTTTATTTTATTTCTTTGCATTCGGTATTTTCGTAGGCAATAAAAATAGACCAGACAATATAAATATAACCAAAGACACGAGGGATGACGTGTCTTCGTTCTGTTTCGATCAATAACCACAGCCATAAACAAAAGCGGTTGCGTTCGTTTGTTCGTATTTGTTTGTGCGTGCATGTATGTTAGTCGGTTCAAAGTGAACGGGTCAACACACACCGTGTTCTAGTGTAGAGAGAATAATACTTTCGCGAGTGTGACTATCCCAAGGTCTGATGCGCAATGGATGACTCATCTCAGCTCCCATCAGTGGTCGAGTCTGTAACTGACTATGGACTGGCATGGAATCATTACTCCGAGGTGATGGTCCTATCTGTTCTGCTGTACCATGATTGGTGGAAAGCGAATGTTTTGTCGAATTCCCGGGTTACTCATTTCAAACGAGGAGGTTCGTTTAGACCACCAAAGAAGTGATGATAAATTTAGAACAAAAACAATTTGACGAACTAATTATTTTCCAGTTATTCATTCCCAGGTCGTTTACAGATTACAAAGGTAACAATAGAAAAAAAAATCACAGTTAGACACAACAAAAATAATGGATTAGAATTTGTCACTGCCAACTTACTTTTGTCATTTGGTTGGTTCAACTAGGTTACGGACTCAGGGTGACGAGACAGTTGGAACAATCGGGCCTGATCCGATGTGCTAACGTTCTACCTGTGACGTCCCGGGTTCAATTCCCAATTGCGTCGATGGATTCGAACTGCTGATGTCGCCAAACCAGGTCAAAACACTTACTGTCCACTGGTTCCCTGCCTTTAAGCTCCCGCCTCATTTACACGATGAATTCATCATTTAATCAAGATGAATTGATGAATCGGTCAACATGCTCAGGCGTGAGTGTGAAGACATTTCATTGCATGAATGGGTTCAGTCTAGGCCCTCAATATTCTAGTGAATAAATTCCATTGAGGCCAAGATTCCCTCAAAAACCGATTCCTGTGAATGAAATGCGATTACTTGCGTATCTGACATTAAAAGTAACACTTGACAAGATGCTTATCAGTGATACTCCAATCCATTGAAAGATTGCAATATTTCAACCGAATAGCACGATCAAATTTGAATTCATTCACCACCTATCTCTGTCTTCCGCACCCAGCCCTCTCTCTTTACCTCTTCTTCCTACCTGTAATCGTCCTTCAAGCAACTTGGGTGTCGCTCGCCAAAGGTCATTAACAAATAGCACCGTAAGTGATTTACCACAAAATGGATTGCAGATTCTAAAGCCTCGTCAATCACTTAATCTGGGTGCCTTGAACGTGAGGACTTTAATGCAGCTAGGTCAACACGCTTGTCTGGCTCGTACAATGGAATTCTTAGAAATCGATATTTGCTGCGTGTCGGAAACTCGAACCCAGGATCCTACTACTCTAAGCCACTTGAGCGCGCCAGATTTGTCGACAAGATACGTTCTTCGCACNTTCGCACACCAGGCGAAGCTCGTTAAGTAGGTCAGCGCGGGGTAGGTATTGTTCTGAGTCATCTCTTATCGATTGGATCGCCGTCAACAGTCGTTTATGTGCAGTGCGTCTCCAGGGTTCAATCAGCGTCCGAAAGGGAAGCAACACCAAAAAGTGTTTGTTCATCGTATCAGCATATGCACCGACCAATTGTAGTTCTGATACCCAGTAGGACGCTTTCTACGATTAACTCAATGATCTCATTCGAGCCTCAACCTGATGTTGTGGATGAGCAGTGGGATCAGAGTAGATGAGGAATGCATTCCGCAACGAATGTTGCTTATGGGTCTGAGCCTCAAGCCCGTCGGAGGCATTGGATATCTCTGGAGTCAGTAGCCCTGATGGAGCAAAAACGGCAAGTCCCGACCTGTCAGGATAAGAATAGAGTTAAGTGGCGTCTGCAATATCAACTCAGGAAGGACCGTGAGAACTGGTGAGAAACAATAGCTAGTGAACTGGAAGTAGCAGCTGCACCAGAGAATAGTCAAAAACTGTTCCGACTGACACAATATGGGAAGTCAGCGAAGTCCAGTTAGTGAAACAGTCTCCTGTAAGATGGGACAAGCCATTCAGTGAACAGAATACTTCAACGAACAGTTCAGCGTTCCTGGCGCTAACCAGGTTGCTTCATCTGCAACTGAGGCTCCGTGGGCAGTGTCGTGCCATCCTCCAGCAAAAGCAGAAATTCGGTCTTGCATTCGAGCTCTGAAGCGAGGAAAAGTAGCAGGCTCCGACAAGCTCACTCCCACTCTGTTCAAGATGGGGGGCGGTGATACCCTCGTAAGCTCTATTACTACCTTACTGCGTAACATTTGGTCGCAAGAGCGCATTCCTTTATCTTCGGGTGAATCACTGATCTTTTCCATTTTCAAGAAGGGATCTCAAAACGATTAGGCTAACCACCGCGCGATAAGTTTGATCCCGATAATCACCGAAGTGCTAGCTTCGGACAGACTTCGACGTTTGACGTCCTTAAGAGAGACCAATATCCGTGAACAGCAATCCGGATTACATCCTAGCAGTCGTTGTATTGATCAGATTTTTGCGTTGCGTCAGATCCTTGAGCTGCTTCACACCCACCGTCGACCATAGTATTTCTTGACCTGAAAGGAGCGTTCGACTCAGTTGACCAGGAGGCTCTGGTGGGTTTCCTTCTTCGAAAAGGAATGCCCCAGAAGTATGGTAACTTGCTGAGGTCACTGTATTCACACACCTCTGGTCGTGTAAGGGTCTATGATGAACTAATTATGTCGTTCGTCACCAGCAGCGGCGTTTGTCAAGGATGCCGTTTTTCACCGTTCCTGTTCAATTTCGTCGTAGACTAAATACCTAAGGACGCACTTGGTGGTCTATAAAACGCAGGTGGGCAGCTGGAGAAAAACTGTAATTTGGAGTACACCGATGACATCGTCTATCTGTCCGAATGTACGGAGGACGCGCAAAACGCACTTGACAGACTAACGAGCGTGGTTGCCAGATTCGGTATGTGCATTGCACCTTCAAAGTGCAAAGTGATACGGCAAGACTGGATTTCGTCCAGCTCTCAAACTAAATGGTGAGGAATTATTTATTGTGGATCATGTCTCGTACTTAGGTAGTTGCATGAACAAAGACGGTAGTGCAGCTAAGGAAATAATCACTCGTATTTCGAAGGCTCGAGCAGCAGACTCAAGAGTGAAACACGTCGCGTAGGTCTGAGGTTGAAAGGTCGTGTGTATTGTGCTGGGGTACGTTCAGTTCTGCTGTGTGGTTGTGGTTGAATTTGCGAGCAGAAGACATCCATTGACTAGCGGTGTCTACGTAATTTAGCTCACGTGGAGTGGAGCGAA